TGGCTCTGGCTCTGGCTCTGTTTCTTAGGTGGCACTGATTAATCATTCCCACTATATAGATGTGTACACTGAGGTTAATGAAGTAAATCCTACTTTTGTTATATTGACAAGCAAGGTAAATGTCATTTGCCTTGAATGTATTTCTTACCTGAAAACTTTTCTTCTCCAATCTTCATAGATTTTAGACTCGTCAGGCTTAGCTGAGAATTAAGAGGCTCCCATCTCCCTCTTTAACAGTAACCTTAAGGAATCTACCTCGGAGATCGGACCTTGTTGCCCATGAGCTGATGTGACCGCGAGATGGGTTTTGGGCACACAAGGTCATTTGTTGGCAGGGGATTCCCCAGTACCGGGGTGACTATACCTGTCAATGATTTGTTGGGATAAGTTCTGGTTTTTATGCCGACTGTAATGATATAATTACTAATTACACTCCTTTCACTCTCAGAAATGACCCAGATTGGAAAGTAATTATATGGCAATTCTTCCTACAATAAGATGGATTCTCACATCCAGAAACAAATCTCCCAACCTATTCTGGGCAAAACCCAAATTTGTGAAAAATGTTTACATATGGAAATGTGAAAAGGCCACTAGCTGGTCTGGAAAATTGAAAACCCAAAAAATATGATGTCTTATAATTAGTATTTCACCCGTCAAATATGCATTATTTGGCTCCTAGGGTTAAGGTAGGAGGAATAGAAATGTTAGCCATTTAATAATCACATTATTGATTATTATATAGTAGGTAACCTGATGGTATGTTGTTTTGTTTTACAGGAAAATACTTGGCAGACAACTAATAAAATCTTGGGCAAGGATTCAGAAGATTCATATAATGGAGAACTGTTGTATGAGAAACAGGTTTCAATTTGGGTTGGATGAAAACAAATCAAAATCTGCACTTGGGATAAACCTGCTGGAAATGCCCACGACTTTTCAGCAATGATTTCCCTCACACAATACCATGATGACCAGTCCTACAGTATTTACTTCTAGGTGTAATATTGTTATGGTTTTAAAATGTAATTATTGTATTTGTAAATTGTACTCATTCCAGTAAAGCAGTTAGACACTTGAGTTTTAGCATTTTACCACTCCTGAAATGGATGTAATTTAAACTGTGGTATGTAAATTTAATAGTAGTACTGTTGAATGGCACAGCGCTTACAGAGGTAGGTTGAATTTTGTCAATATATAAAATTTAAATATAATATTGATAGCTATCACAAAGGGGGTGCCACATACGAAGGAAATTAAGTGGAACCAGAAAAAAAAACCTTTTTTTTTCAGTTCTTAGTATGTTTTATTCTAGTGCTAAATAAAAAATTCTATCTTCAAATGTTTAGTGGGTTAAATTCAGAAACTATTTCAGAAAAACATTCTAAGGTTACAGCATATTCAAAGAAAAGCATTAATTACCACTTTTTAAAAAAGCTTTTTTTTCAAACTGCAAATTTCATAAAAATGCAAACTGTGTAAACAGGGCCTCTTATTTTTATAACTTGTGTATAAAGGGAAAGCAATTCATATTTAAAGTTTAAGTATATGAAATTATAATCAAGTAAAGAAGATATTGACGTCTTAACTACTTCCCCTCTCTCTACAGCTTAGCAAATGTAGAGATTGTTGAATAATCCAGTCAGACTAAAACAAAAATTGTGATTATAAAACTTCAAGACTCTCCATAGTTGAGCTGGTTCGCAACTTTTGCACAGTTACTCTAAACAGAGAGTTCCTCCCACCGAGCATGGAGACCAGTGCCATGCATCTTCCTCTTCACCCATAGGAATCAAAATGTTGAGACCAAAAATCTCAGAAAAAAAATGTTTGTCCCCTATTAAATACAGAAGGAGAATTTTAATCACAATCATTTATAATATTTGGGAAGGAAAAAAATAAGCTTTATCAAAGAAGTTCTCTCCACATAATTGTGTAATAAAGTCCTTTTAGATAAAATGCATTGTATGAAATTATAAATCTTTGCCATTCTGGGGGGAATCAAAAAGAGTTATAAAAAATGTGTTATTATTTTATTGTTGCAAGGTATAATAAAAACTTCAAGTACTCAGTTGGGCCTGACAATGAGGGAATTCAGAACAGAGAAGCACTTCTTCAGGGATCCCAGTTATAAAACCTTCCTTCGTTCTGATCTGAAAACAGAAGTCTTCCTTCAAGTCATAGAACTTATTTTAAACATAGGCAAATTCGTGTTCTAGGTTATACTGTTAAATAACTGTAATTATAAGTTGTTTTATTTATCATTAGTTGCTAAATTTTACTTTACATTTACTCATATTAGACAAAAAATTTTGAGCCCCTTTAAGTTTTAGAATCTTACTCTTAAAATGAGATTGTGACTGGCAGTAGTTCACAGTGGAGCTTTCTAAATTGGTGTTTTTACTTCTCAATCAGTGCTGGCTACCCAGAGGATGTTCAAAGTGAGCTGCCTTGCATTAGAAGGATATTCTCAATTGGCTTCTCAAGTCTTGTGTTGAAGTTTTTTAAACAAATAACTAATATACTCATTTTATGTAAAGATATGCTATTTGATTTTGAAACCAAAAGAAAGAATGCAAATTTTTAAATATATGAAACATAGGGAAATTCCAAACACTAAAACCAATGGAAAATAAACTGCAGAAAACTGAGAATTATCCAGCATATAAATATAAAAATGTGTTTAAAGTAATCAGTTTGTGAAAAAACATATTGAAAATTAGCACAAAGCATATTAAAATGTGTAAATATTACTGTTCTCATGTCTTGCTCTTTATACTTATTTTATTTCAATTGGTTCTGGAGTGAATTGGTAGTTAAACACAAGGACTTTTTGTTAATAACAGAATAATTTTGTTGATATTGTAAAAAATGTAATTTAAAACATAGATTACAATAATCCCTAACATTATTCAAATGTTTCCAGGAACTAAAATTTGGAACAATGAAGATATTCTATGATCTCTTAATTAGTCTTTGTGAAACAGAATGAAAGTCAGTGATTTCAGAGTTACTAAACCTTGAATAACCAGAATCTCAATAGAGAATATATCTCTTTCAGTTCAGAAAATAGGTTAAATAATAACAAACTCATATCAGGGAGGTTTGGGTGTTTTTCTTTTACTCTTGTAGTTTATATTCTCCTGTTACACCTGTACCCATTGTACTATGCACTAAGAATTCATGTTAGAAAAAATGATCCAAGACAGTGCAAGAATCTCTGTTATAAAAGAAACATTAAGTCGGGTTCATTATCAATCCCTAAAGCAGAACAACATGAGCTAGTACATATTAACATTTTCAATACTATGGGTTAAAATGAAAAGAAAGGGTTTTGTTAACCAGAACATCATGTTCTGAGCAATATGGTTACAAAGGTTCTGCTCTATCAAGATAGAAAGTATGAATGATGCTGCTTTATTTTGGCAAAATGGAAAGTATGTTTTTCTTTTCAAATAAATTCCATATTTTCATGGTATTTTTAAAAATAAATTCTCATTATGAATTAGTCTGAATTTTATCATAATTGGAATTTATAATTCCTAAAGATTAAATTTTTAAATTATTTTTAAAGCTCTATTCTTCTCTATACTTACAGCCTAAATGGGAATTCACTGCATGGTATTTGGGAATCTATTTTACCTATAAAGGAAGAAAGTCCACATTCCAATGGTTTCAAGTGAATAGAGAACAGACCAGAATGCCGAATGTTTTGTGTATTTTTACTCCACCTTTATCTACAGATAGTTCGAGGCCATAATTAAACATATTTTCATTTCTTCTTTTCAAAGAAACCCGCACAATTCTAGTAATGTAAC